GGGGGGGGGGGGGGGGGGCAGTCACACGGGGGGGGGCAGGGGGCAGTCACGCTGCAGGGGGCCTTTCATTTGCCCCCATTTCTGTTTAAGCAGCCGGAATGTGTCTGCTGGGGGCGTATTTAGCTTCCCCTCTAAGGTGAACAGGTGGCACGAGATGCTGCCAAAAATAGCTCTCTCCTCAGCCCTCCCTGTTCCCAGAACCCCGGGATTCATGCCCGCCGGCCTGCTTTTCCTGCCCCAAGTGAGGTAACGGTGGGATGTCCTGTGTCATCTAAATAGAGCTCTTTCTGGTGCTGGGCGCACCCTAATCCAGAGACGCAGGCATGACCAACTCTTCCCCGGAAGGGTAGCCGCCCTGTCATGGTGAGCTCATGTCTGCCGAAACTCCCCGCTGGGTGCTCTGTCTCAGGGAGGGGCTTGCTGTTAACTATAGCCCTAGGGTTGATGTGAACACAGGGGCTGGGAAAGCACATGATGTCCTATCAAATGATAGACGAAGCTGAGATCTCTGGGCAGGATCCCTCCTTCCCTGGGGTAAGGACTCCGGTGCCCTGGCCCTGATCTCAGTGTGATTGGCAATCTGGTTTTCTTCCTGCCCTTTCGGTAGAATGCATGCCATACTGTGCATGGTGTTATGATCTGAAAAGTGTTGGGGCCAGTGGTGGTGTAGGCGGTTTTAAAATAGCTGATATAGGGTCACATTAAAAGAGACTGCGTTTCCTCACTCGGGGAGTGGCATCTGTTGAATCTAAGGAGTCTCAACTCTGTTTCCTGGATTCTAGCCCTGGCTTTGTGTGGGAAATGAAGTCTAGGGGATTAGAGCGGTAGTTGGAGGCTAGGACTCTTGGGTTCTGTTCCTAGTTATGCCACTCACCTCTAAGATACCGCAGCTGTTCTTAGACTGAAACTGTGTGTGTTAGCAACTGATGACGCAAAAGCACCATGTGATACTATTTTGAATGCCGTGAGACTAGTAAGGGGCTGGGTGTCTCTCAGAATGCCTCATAGTGATCCAAGTGAAGAGTTAAACCTGGGATAGCTGTGACAGGCTGAGTCACAGAGAACCCCTTGGGACTATCACTTGATGTGCTGACATATCCCCGAGCCTGTCTTCCTGGGCACCCCTTAACCCTGTCCTGCTGATCTCAGGGTCTGTTACCCTGCAGAGGGCTGTGACAGGGCTGGAGGAGGCCTGAGGTGTCATCTAGTGTATCCTCTAATTTTTTCCATCCATGTGCAGTATACATGTTATGTGCATCAAGGCATGTACGGATGTGCACCACCAGTAGAAACATATGCTTTCAACTGCTGCCAGCTATGGGTGCTCTGCAAATCAGCAGGATGGCATTTGAATCTCTCCTGCCCAAGTGCTCAGCTTACAGGGAACACTGGTGTGGTCCAAAAGCTTGGCATGCCAATTGAGACCTCTTACGCTGGACTTCTCAACGGCTGTTTAATTCTTCTCCCCCCTTTGAGATAATGTGGCTTAATTAGCTGTCAGACCTGGTCATAGCTCTGAGTCAACCACTATAGTCAGGGCTTGACAAACGGTGACGAAACGTACTCGCCAGCCCCACACTGCGCATGCGCAAGACCCGCATTGCGCATGTGTGCGCTGCCGGTGAACAGGGCGACTGGCTGAAATCAACTCGCTATAGTCGAGTAGATGCATTGATTTGTCAAGCCCTGACTCTAGTGATAGGACCATGGTAGTGCACATCTTTAAAAAAAAAAGGTGGGGGGGGGCAGAGGGAAGAAGGACGATTCAGGGAACTACAGACCAGTCAGCCTTACCTCAGTCCCTGGAAGAATCATGGAGGGGATCCTCAAGGAATCCATTTTGAGGCACTTGGAAGAGGGGAAAGTGATCAGGAATACAGTAGTCAACATGGATTCATGAAGAGCAAGTCATGTCTGGCCAATCTGATTAGCTTCTATGATGAGGTAATTGGCTCTGTATAAAAAGCTTTGCTAAAGTCAAGGTATAGCACATCCACTGACTTTCCCATATCCACAGTCTCCCACAATATTCTTGCCAGCAAGTTAAGGGAGTATGGATTAGATAAATGGACTGTCAGATGAATAGAAAGCTGGCTAGACTGTTGGGCCCAACAGGTAGTGATCAACCGCTCGATCTCAAGTTGGCAGTCAGTTTCTAGCAGAGTGCCCCAAGGATCTGTTCTAGGATCGGTTTTGTTCAGCATTTTTATTAATAACCTGGATGAGGGGATGGATTGCACCCTCAGCAAGTTCTCAGATGACACTAAGCTAGGGAGAGAGGTAGATACGCTGGAGGGCAGGGATAGGGTCCAGAGTAACCTAGATGGATTGGACCAAAAGAAATCTAATGAAATTCAACAAGGACAAGGGCAGAGTCCTGCACTTGGGAGGAAGAATCCCGAGCACTAATACAGGCTGGGGACTGAATGGCTAAGTAGCAGTTCTGCAGAAAAGGACCTGGGTATTACAATGGATGAGAAGCTGGCGATGAGTCAACAGTGCATCTTTGTAGCCAAGAAAGCTAATGGCATGTTAGGGTGCATTAAGAGGAGCATTGCCAGCAGATCTAGAGAAGTGATTATTCCCCTTTATTCGGCTCTGGTGAGGCCACACCTGGAGTATTGTGTCTAGTTCTGGACTATTGAAAGGATGTGGACGCATTGGAGAGGGTCCAGGGGAGGGCGACCAAAATGATTAGGGGGCTGGAGCGCATGACCTATGAGGAGAGGCTGAGGACTTTGGGTTTATTTTGTCTGCAGAAGAGAAGAGTGAGGGGGGATTTGATAGCAGCCTTCAGTTTCCTGAAGGGAGGTTCCAAAGAGGATGGAGAGAGGCTGTCACAGTAGTGAGCAGAACAAGGAGCAATGGGCTCAAGTTACAGTGGGAGAGGTCTAAGTTGGACATGAGGAAAAACTATTTCACTAGGAGGATGGTGAAGCACTGGAATGGGTTACCTAAGGAGGTGGTGGAATCTCCATCCCTAGAGATTTTTAAGTCTCAGCTTGACAAAGCCCTGGCTGGGTTGATTTAGTTGAGATTGGTCCTGCCTCGGGCAGGGGGCTGGACTTGATGACCTCCTGAGGTTTCTTCCAGATCTGATTCTAGGACTATGGCCTAGTGGTTAGAACAGGGGGCAGGGGAATCAGGACTCATGGGTTCTTGTTGCCAGTTCTGGGAAGTCAATGTTGTCTTGTGGTTAGAGCAGGGACAGGTAGGACTCCTGGGTTCTACTCTGTCTCTGTCATTCGCTTGTCAGGGACAACCCCCTTCTCCATCTATGACCCTCCTTGGCCTCTCTGATCTGACATCCCGGCTGACTCCCCGTTCTCTGTTCCAGGCCCTGCTCATGGGATGCAAGTTACTGTGCTGAACCCCTTCAACGTGGTGATCCTCTTCCAGCCCGTTACCTTGCAGTGCAACTACCAGACCTCAGCCACCCAGCCACCCATTGTCACCTGGAAGTATAAGTCCTATTGCCGGAGCCGCCTGGCAGATGCCTTCAACCCCAGCAGTCAGGAGAACCAGATCAACAGCCAGTTGCAGCAGAACAACCCCGGTTACAACCCGTATGTGGAGTGCCAGGACACCACGCGCACAGTTCGGGTGGTGGCTACCAAGCAGGGCAATGCTGTGACACTGGGGGACTTCTATCAGGGACGTCGGATCACCATCACCAACAGTGAGTTCTAGCCAAGCAGGGAGGGTTTTTTTAACTGTTGACTTTTTAGGTAAGTTACGTTAGCATGCCAAGAGAATGTTATATGATCTGGAGGGCTTATTACAGTGGTCCCCAACCTTTTGAGGTTGCCGGGTGCCAGGGGGCGT